TTATTTATATTTAGAAGTTACGATTTTTTCAGATTATTTACTTTTTGCTGACTTCTTGTTGGTTCTGCCTGTGGCTGAAATGACAGATTTTTTTTTAATTTAAGAGGAAAGTGTCTGACTGTGGCGGGAACATAAACATCCTACTCTGTTCTCCAAAGTTCAGAACTGATGCTTACTTCTACAGGCCCAGTAACCTTGGTYCTGGAGAAGGTCTCCCCTGACTTCTAGTCCACAGGACCACACGCAGCACCTGTGAGAATATCCRCTGAACCTTTTCAACACAGTGCATCTTCAGAAGACAAGCAGATAAAATACATTTTTACAATTCGTATGGTTTGTCTCTTTACTTGCGCCCTCGCACAGTGGCTGCTGGATGTGAGCAGCAGTARCCCCCGTGACCCTGGAAGGAAGAAGTGGGTACTTGCCACTTGCTATAGCCACCTGGGCCCCAGTTTTATTGTACACCCTTGACATTCACTGATAGCATTCTCATGCCCTTCACCTATAGGGACTTAGGGGTGGGCACACTTGTGGCATGCAGTAGGTAAGGTGACAATCAGTCTCACCACTCACGCCTGTGCCCACTCCCAAAGGTTGCTTGTAGACATTTAGGGTTTTGGGCTAGAGTTGGGGTTGGGGGAGAACTGGCGCTGCCTATTCTCAATCGAGTAGGGCTATGTGCCGGCCTCCGCACACGTCAACAGCACATCTTAGGGTGGAGGTGTGGGGGTGTGTATGGGTCTTTGGCAGCCTTTCTACATTCACCATCGCTCAATAAGTAAACTTATTGGGCGATGGGAAGAACAGAGTTTGGGGGTTTTGCCTTTTTTAGCAAGTAAAGTAATGAATGCCTGATTAAGGGTCTGAGGTAGGCACCCAGAAGTCAAAGATTCATTGTATACCTCTAAAAGTAGTGGAGAAAGCTTGTCCCAAAATTTCCTATAAAACTCACAAGGGTACCCGTCAGGGCCTGGGCATTTACCCCCCTGTAGGGCCTTAACTGCCTCAGTGGGTTCAGAGATGACAATAGGTCTCTCAAGATTGTCAGCTACATCCTGTCCGATGATAGGAATTTCCAAATCATAAAAAAGTTATCAAATTCAGTT